GGCGGTCAGTTTCAGCAGCGGCTGAATCTGGACGCCAGTTCCGACTTACATACAGATTCAACTTAAGAACAAACCTACAGTCCCTATCTTGTACGTAACCCGGGGACTGCCTGTATACCCTGAAGTTTCAGAGATTTATTTGCAAAAACTTTGTAGGGGCAAGTCAGTTGTTCTGCTGAATACAACATTAAATAGTATGGAATACATAATGCAGCCCATCTCTGTTTTACACTTTCTTCATCAGTATTTCTAAGCTGATTTTATATTTCAAGTATACTCTTAAGCCTTCATAAAGTAATCATTCCAGATTACTACATAATTTAACGCTCTTGAAACAAAGACATTATTTTAAATTAATCAGTCAGAGATTTAGTGTGGTCAAACCAAAGTTCCTTGCTTTTGGAAAAAGGGAACACTAATTTAGTTTGTGTGATTTTCAAAACAAGACATGTTTATAAAATTTTACTATATGTTTATGTTAAAAATGTTTCCAAAGATTTTAGCCATAACAAAAGATTTTATGTTTTAAGAAGGTACTGGTTTTGATGGAAGCTTTTCTTAAAACTAGTTCATCAAATAGTCAGTAGTAAAAGAGAAACTCATTTGTAAAAGGAAAGGAATGTTGTCCCTTTGGGCTTTTCAGCAGAGGCATAAGAATGGATCGAAAGGCCAGGAAGACTTTGGAAGCAAGCTTTTATACTAGTGTAGTAATTGACATGTGTATTTTAGAGAAGGGTTTTCTTTTCAAGAATTTATTTTAAAAAACTATGCATCTGAAGATCCAAGCATTTAAGGCTAAAGCTGAATACTCAGACAGTGCATCTCAATATCTATGCAAGGATTTTTTTAGAGATGTGTTTTTTATATTCTTCAGCAATACATTTATGAATGGTTTAAAACCACTTTTCAGCTACGTTCCTGAAGACATAGTAATGCACAACTGCTTGTCAGTAAATTGAGAGTTGATGCATGCCTGTTAAATGGTTTCATTACAACTTCATGGCTCTTTCACAGGTTCAATGTTGTTCTAATAGTTCTGGCAAGATGAAAGGCTTTTAAGTTAACAGATCCACTTCAGGGGAAAAGTTGCCAGTCTGCAAGCTGCAACAGCCTGTTGTGGGAGCCTTCAGGACTAGTCAGAATAGGGATAGGAAGAGGGTAGGGGTTGAACACTAAGACCCAGGAAAGACATTGCCTCCCCTTGCCTTTGATACATACTGCCTATGATGCTGAGTCACTGGTTATAACTC